TAAAAATTGACAGGAAACTAGATCGCTCAAAAAGTACCGTTACTTGCTTTTTTGATGAAAAACATAATTTAATAAATGGATTAATTACTAGTTAAAACTTAAACGGTAAAAATAACATTTTTTATACTGACTAAAGTCTTATCACACCAATTTTAAATTTGGTTTAATATAATCTAGGGTAAATAATTACTACTTTTAATCGAGTGAAACTGATGATTTGAATGAAATGTGGTTTTATTTAAGGAATTTAATTACAATCATTTAATATTTGATGCGAATTTTTAATTAAAATCTATAGTAATGATGCTATCTTGGATAAATAAAGTACATAATATTAATTAAATACGCCTTACATTAGTTTCATACACTACCAAATAGACATTATCTGGTATGCAATTCCACTTAACTAAGCGTTAATACTTTTGTCTGTATAAACAAGTAAAAGATTTACATTACATTTGAATTTAAGAAGTAATGACCATAAGATGTTCTTCTAATTTATTGTATTAAACTAATTGTTTTTGAAAACCTTTTAAATTATATTAATTTTAGGGAAAAACTGGCTGCATTATTTAATGTGGTGAAGGAAGTTGATGTATTAAATTCAAATGACGAGGCAAATCTATCAGTTCTTCAGAGGCCAGAATTAGGCATCACGTTCACAAAACTGCACTGCTGGAGATTGTTGCAGTATGAAAAGTGTGTATTTATCGACGCAGATGCTCTTGTAAGTTGTTGTTTAAAAATAAGAAATCCACGGGAAAAAGATTTCTACTGATTTTCACTGTAACAAATATGCTCTAACAAAGTTTACATTTTGTATATTTTAACTTACATTATTATTAAATTGGACTATACTATTAACGTTAGGGTCATACATGCTTCCTTAAAGCTTACTGAAAGTTAAAATTTCATTTCTAATGTGGTGTAACGTAACCACAGTATTTTGAACAAGTACGATTCACGTGATTAGAGAAATTTATCCATGATGAGATTGACTCAAGCTGACCATACAATGTACTGTTATTTGAATATCTGCAGCCATTAATTCAAAACAAAGTGACTGTGCAATTGTCTGTATTTTAAGGCCGTCAAAAATCAAAGGATATTTTTAAATTAACATAGATATCAATGAAGGATCAGAAGTATCTATTCAAGCGAGTACCAAATTATCCTGCAGCCTTATTTGCAGAATTTTCTGCAGACTTTCCTGCATGTTTATTGTGCCTAAATCCTACAGACTTATCTGCAGATGTTATCATCCGGATAATAACACTGAAACTGGGGGATTGAAGTATTTTTTCACAATTTTTGAAAAACTGCAAATTAGAAAAAAATTTTATTTTCAAAAAATTGTTCAAAAATACTTAAACTCCGCAGTGTTGATGTTGTCATCCAGGTAATGATGCTCGTTGTGACCGATATACTTTCAATAAATGAGATTTGGACACAATTTTTTTTTTTTTGAAAATTTGAGACAGCCCAGTCTGTACATAAGTGCGCAGATAGGCCTGAAAGATAATTTGGTACGGAAGCGCATTTTGTTAAAAAGCGTTTAACTAGTCTTAAAAATCGATACATGTACTATTTACACCAATTAGAAATGACACTTACTACCAAGAAAGTACAAATATTGATTACAAAATATCTTACAACTTTAACGGATGAAACAAAAATGAAAGCAGCACAAATTCTTGTAATGCATCTAGTATAGTGGAAATCGTTGTAGTTACTTTTTCCATTTCAGCGCATTTGAGACATTAAATTCATAAAATCCAAATTAATAATCTTCAAGGTTGTCCGGAACTGCGATGAGTTGTTCGAGCGCGAGGAGCTTTCTGCCGCCCCGGACGTTGGCTGGCCCGACTGCTTCAACTCGGGTGTCTTCGTGTTCAAGCCGTCACTAGAAACGTTTGCCGCGATCGTGACATTCGCCGTGAGCCAGGGCTCGTTTGACGGTGCCGACCAAGGCCTCCTCAACATGTACTTTAGCGACTGGGCGCACAAGGACATTTCCAAACACCTGCCCTTCATATACAATATGTGCTCCACTGCTACCTACTCGTACGCACCAGCATTCAAACAGTAAGCTTTTTTCGTCACGAATAAGATCCCTACACTGTCAATCCAAGTGTGTTGAACTACACGTTGAAAGTGATCACTAAACTTGACACTTTTGAATGGGAAGAACCAATGTCAAAAAGGTGTGGAGTGAAAGAATATGTTCATCACAAATTTTACACGTTTACAGGTCCATTCAATTTGTGACAGAAATGTTTTACTCTTTACAGACTTTTTATACCAATTGTTGAAGAAAAACAATAGTTTAGTTTAACAGAATAGGTGAAATAGTTTACGAAGCATCGATTTGGTTGTTCTTACATCGCTTATCAAGACTACTATTATAATTTTATAAGAAACAGAAATTTCGATTACACACTTTAAACATTACACTTGGATTTTCCAGTTTAAGGAATAAACGTATATTACGCGTCTCTTGTAGGGTATCCAAAAAGTCTCCCCTTCGATTACTCCTTTATTAGCCATGATTTCCCTAAAGTTTATTTTTAGTTTTATATTTAAAGCTGTTGCTGCCTAACTTTGTGTCCAACTATAAAAGCATGACAAATACATATTGAACACAAAATTATCACTATTGTTTATTTGATTTGATTGCTATTACTAAATAAACTGATTCTGTGATTCGATAACATCGAAAGGCATTTAAGCTATGCATCAAAGTAACTTAAAGAGAGAAATCACACATCCCTTTAGGGTTATTAAACACTCAAAGTAAATGTACAATAGCATTCCGACGATATGAAAAAACATGAGGATACGACACGTATTAGCTACCTGTCTTGTATTTGTTTGAGCCATAGCAAATACATAATTTGTGAAGAATAACGTCTTTTGAGACTACATAATGAACTTTATTGTCTCCTTTTTCCAATTAAATTTTGATTGGACTAAGAAAACATTTTTTTGCACAATTACGAATTCTACGTAAAGTTGACACTTATGCTTTATATTTGTGGTTATAAAATTTTTTAAATAAAGTAAAATTTTGATATTCGTTTCACACTGAATCAAATTTATTTACAGTAGAATAAAGGGAATGGTTTTCTTAGATCTTTTTTTTTTTTTAAACAACAAATATTTGTTCATGATAGGACTTTAATTAAGGTATGTTCTTTAGTTCGTGCGATGAATGCAATAATAGTCTTTTCTTATCCAAGCCAAAATATCACATATGGGAATCATTTTTTTCTAGTGACTCAATGTACTTTTTTAGTTACATGGTATACTTGATTTACGTCACAGTACACTAGATATTTGAAGCAGTAGGCACATTCCATTTCTCAATTTATCTAAATCTGTCAATAAATTTCAAGATATGTCTCGGTACACTAAGAATTTTTGAGTGTTAATTTTAAAAAAGTTGTCATTTGATTGCCATGTACATGAATCTCAATTTTATTTAATTAATAGATTCGCGGCCAATGTAAGGATAATCCACTTCATTGGTAACACTAAACCATGGTTGCAGTATTTTGATACGATGACTGGAATCGTACAAGTTCCACCAGGCTGTGATCATTTGCAGCCACTTATGCAAATGTGGTGGAACATCTTTTGCGAAAATGTTCACCCGCAGCTCTCGGATGTAATGGTGAGTTTTAAAACACCACTGAGCTCGGCGCTAAGTTACAATTACACTTGATGAGACTTAGATTGTTGTGATATCAGTGCTATTTTATTGCTACGCTTAACTAATATACTCAATTAACTAGTAATACAATTTTTTATCATATTTAAAACTACAAATAAAGTTATTTTCTGTCAATTCACGTCCTCCTTGATTTTTACAAGCAAAAACGAGCTGAGGAGTATTTTGCAATATGCCCAAAGGTAAGAGAATGAATTTTCTTAATCAAAGTTACTATAGTCACACTGTTTCGTTGTAATTGTTACGTCAATCCTTATTCAAACCATTAAGTAATCACTCCTGTTATTTAATCAAATGCCGATGGACTAAAACAATTTTGTCACTTTGTCACCTTTCGGAACATTAGTCTTTGTCACACTAATTTTGTTTACTGAATCTTTAAATTGGAAAGAGTATTTGAATAATGTTGTTTAATACTTTGTGGGGAATTTGTACAAGGTTCAAGGTACATGTGTAAATTACTATATTGACTTACAAGAAACTGCATTCACTGTATTATATTTTATATTTTCTGCTTTGCCAAGCTTTTGCACCAAATAGTTTTACCTGTACACAGATACTAATTCAAATATGTTTGATGAATGATATGTTTATGTACCATAAAAACATTCAGAGCATAGAGTATGCGAGTTTCTTTTTGTTTATAGTTAGGAAATAGTTCCAAACAATAACGAAATTAAAGTCAATGCAGTTTTAATCATTGTTGATTGTACATAAGACATATTCAGTATCCATTTCTTATATCTTGCATACATTTTTAGGATTTTTTACCTTTTAATTGCTCACCCTCGAATATAAATTTTTCAGAACGGGATTCTATTTTTATCCCTCTTAACATGCGATCCGCTTCCATCAAATATAATTGCAATTAAATCAATGTATGCGGGATGATTAACCATCGTAGAGTAAGTTGGACATTCTACGATTGGTACTCGAATGTCTTGACTTGTGTTGCTGAGAAACTAAAATAGAAAATTAAATTTAATAAGTTATCTTACAAATATTTATGTTCTACATCAGTTGAATGAATCGCGTACGATGCTAATACAAAGATAGTGTAAGAAATGGACACTAAATCCGTTACCATTTACTACTAACCCATTGAGTGTGCATTTTTTGTTTTCGCATGATGCTTGCAAAGGCCACCAGCAATATGACGTCAATTTGGCACTATGTCGATCCCCTCCCTTCACAATCACGAACATCCAAATACAGCAACTACTTGCATGACATTGACAGTGACATGTGCAATGAAGTAAGTCCTGCTTTGCCAGATTTTTCGGAATTTAAAGATCCATGGGAAAACTATTCGAACCCAACGACGGTTTCTGTATCACATGACGTAAAACAACCTAGCAGTGACGATCAGTATTATCACGATGAAAGTACAAAGTCCTCCGAGGAAAATCAATTTGAAATCCATGACCAATGTAAAAGGGGGTCAATATCGTTTCAATCGCTAAATTTGCCACAAGAAGGCAATGATGATAGTCGAAGTCTTGTTTTCGCGATATCTGGTCAAACACCTCGGACTTCCAAGCAAGAAACCGATCGATATCTAGCAGATGAATTGCCAAGCTCGAGTGACCAGCAGTCCAGCCCAAGTAGAAATAAGAGTAATATCTTGTCTAGAAATATTTGCCAAACTTCAGCTTTTTCTGATTTTGCGAAAGAGGTGTGTGGTGAGACTAAAGACCACAATTCTTGTGATTTTAGCACACATTTATTTTGTCATAGTGTCAATAACAAACAAAATCATCATGACAGAAATCACAACCAAAGCTCCGAACAGACTGACTATCGTATTCCTGATTCCTTGATCAATCCTTTACCTTGTAATGATCCAAATAATGTTGCAACGCAACCGAAATTGAGTGCTGCATCATGTGTAGAAACCATAAATGTAAGTAGTTGTTCCACTCGTTTTCATTTTTTATTGAACATAATATCTTCATTGTTCCAATGTAATTAAAGCATGTCTGCTGCATACGGTATCTCATATTATCATCGGAACAAAAAGTAAATCAAAATACAATACATTCAAACAAAGTTTGTTCCCAACAAGAAGATGTTATTTTATGATTTATGTTCTGCTAAATTTTAAAGTTGAGTTCCTTTTTTCATTTATAAAATTATATTTCTGTGAGCACTGTAGAGCTATAAAATCACTATTTGACCACAGTTTTTAAGCAAAGTCAAGCGCTAGTGTCACTATCATTCTTAACTTACTGTTGTACAGCTATACTTCAATATTAATTTTTCTGAAAGTGCGTCAAGGGAAACATATTAAAAAATGCTTATTTGAATAGTATCAACAATTGAACACTAATACTTTTGTGTTGGTTAACATGGGTTTTGAGTTGGTAGCGATAGTCTCTTTGATACAATAAATTTCGTATTTGTAATAGTATCTCATGGAAAACGTATAAAATGTAATTTGATGAGTAGATTATGGAAAAAAATCCTAAAACTTTCAAAGCAAACGGATGCTTAAAGACATTCTGCAAAAAACGTTAAACGTTGCAAGAAATGGGTATTAAGACTCAATTATTTCTGGTATCAAAAGGTAAGAGACATTTACTTTTTTAAATAATGGAATAGTATAAAAAGTCAATATATTAATTTATGTTCACGTTGTTGATATTAGGAAGTATTCCACTCAAATGCCTTGACTAAATGTAGGCACGACACCAAGCGTTTGATCCCCCTTAAAATTGACATTTTAGGTGTAATGAATAAGCCGTTTCTTAAATTTGCAGCAACAAACTCATGTTACACGATCCAGTATTAAAAACTTTCACGCATCTGAAAATTTTTTTTTAATCACCAACAATAGTAAACAATCATACACGAAAATTGTTTTGTTTCAATAAAAAAAAGAAAAATACTATATAAAGAACAACAATCATAATTGTTATTACCATGCCAACTTTTTGTTCTGAAGACAAATGTGAGTCATACCGTGTATGCATTGAACGTAGTCTTTGTACATACAAAGTAGCTTATGTTAAGACTTATTGTATGTAATCTTCTTGATTCTTAGAATAGGTACTAATAAAACAAAATTAATGATAAGGATTTGTAAAAAAAAAGTTGTGTAGCGAGCGATGTCTCATACTAAAATGGCTAAGTGCTTTCTTGGATACATGTGGTAAAGTTGTTTGTTAATATGGTAACAAAGCGTACTGGAATTTTTTTTTTTTTTTTTTAATAACATTAGTTTCTGTTATAAGTATTTTTATTGCTCAGATAGTTCGGGGCTTCATTTTCTGTACTATCTTTATGTGTAATTTTAATTGAAAATTTAATAAATCACACAACACTTTTTCAACATAATTAGCTATCTTATGCTAGAGATAACTTTTATTAGTGTAATAAAAAATGAAGTAATACATTAAAAAAAATGAAATTAGATAAACAATTTCCAACTTACAACATTTTAATGTTTTATTAACACGAGGAACCACATTGTAGCCATTCTAGTATGGATTATCTTAATATTATAAATGAAAGTAAACTTGACATTGGAAGTGATTTTTTACTCATAAAAACCGCTTCGAAGTATCCAGTATCGAAAAATTTCATTTCTTACCGTGAGCGCAAAGGCCTTGCACCTTCCGGCTCCTTTAATAACGCCTACGGGTGAACTGGATACTTGTCCAATTTAAAGTGTAAATTTTTATGCTGAGCTAGTCTGAAGTGTGCCTAAATGGGCCCAAAAACCAGCACCTTAGGCCCACGGTCAGCAAAACGTTATTCGACAAACATACGACAATTATACCGTTCGGGCACGTTAGTTTTCCTTTGCGTCCATGGTACGAAACGTAATAATTTCTATATATTCTGAATTTCTTTTATAGTACTTAAACGATTGGAAGTTTGTTTGGGATAAAAAAATATTTGGGCTACTTTAGGGAGGCCTGGCCGGAGCGTTATCAAGACTGACCATGGGTGAAGCTCGCACCGAGGAGCAGCGTGCGGTAGAGGATCATGTACGGAAGCAAAATTGGGAGCAGGGACAGATTGATTTTATGGGTCGAGACAGTTTTGATAACATTTTACGGAAGATCAATGAAACGCTGGCATCCGCTCCACCAAGACAACAATCTCCGGCGAAGGTAATAATTTTCTACGGTAAATTTAACGAATTTTAATCAAGTATGTTTATTCATCGTTACTTACTTGATTATAGTCCACCCTAAAAGCAGCATGTATTTTTAATCTAGCTTATTTATCATAGTTTAAGAACTTTAACGAGTTTATTAGGAAAGTCGGATCAGTGTAAACAAATGTGTATATGCATATATATATATATATATATACATGTACACATAAAAACATTATTCGAAAATTTGACTCAATTGGCTACGTTAAAAACGATTGTACATTGGTGTATGTGTTTAATTACGCAAATTTTTAAAGTAAAATCAGCATCAAAATTTTAAAAAAAACTCTTTAAAATTTTTATTCCATCCGGAAAGCGACCTGTGACTCCGATTCTCAGGTAATTCATACATTTTTCAAGTGTAAACGTTCATTGGTTGTCATTGTTGTAATTCATCCAGAGCTGTCCGAGTAGTTTGCTAATGGCCGAAATTTCTTTTCTGATCTGTACGATCTATTCGACGGATTCGTTTTATTACTCTTACAGTTCAAACAATCAATTTATTTTTTAAAAGTGATTGTGACTTTACAGATAAGCCAGCAAAGTATTGTCTTCCCTCGAATAGAAAGCCCCTATATGGATGTTCAGATATCATCTAAAAAAAATCTTCTATTTGTCTTTAAAATTAAATAAATTCTATCAAGTACGTGTAAATTTTCGAAGAATCGCAATGAAAGTTTTTTTCAATACTACACGTTTGAAATATTACAATTAATGCATAAATATTCAAAAATTATAAAATAACAACTTAGCCGTCGCTAACCATAAAAAAGTTGTGTTTTAAAAGGAAAATAAAATAGGTAAGACTTAAAAATTTTTATTTGTTTACCAAAAAGAAATGCAATCATCAAGGTGAACGAATAAAAAAGGTGTTTGACGAAATCGAGAAAAATCGATCACAATTAGAACATTTTTATGCATGTATCAGAATTGGAGAGTAAATAGATTACCAATCCGTAGAGTAAGTAAGTGTGGAATTCATCGGTTTTATTTAGTTTAGAATTTAGAAGTACTTAAAACCAAGTTCAACTTAAATGAAGTGTAAATTAAAAAAAAAATATCAATATGTCAAAAAATTTAAGGTCGATTCGTAGACAGCTCTGGTTTTACTATTGTTATAACTATTATTATTATTATTATTAAAACTATTATTATTATTTTTATTATTACTTCTATGATTATTGTTGTTTTTATTGTTTTTATTATTTTTATTAATTTTCTAATCATCTAAGAATACGAAGTCAAATGATATTGTTCCAGGAAACCCGACAGCCCAAAAAGAGCAGCCGCAAAAGCAGTGAGATGGAAACAGCTGTAGAGGAAGGCGAGGCTACTTTGCCTGGTACGTTTAATTTGAAAGCGCCGCGATCCAGTCAGAAAAGCGCTAAAGAAAAAAAAAATCTTAAGTGACGCTTATAAACAAAAAAATTGTATAACTGAAAGAAATTATAGGGATATTGTTAATTTTTTTCACATTATCAAGCGTATTTGTATTTGCAACATGCTTAATAACGATACTGTATCGATGAAATTGCAGGTATAGAATTTAAAGAACATAACGTACAATGATGTAAGTCGCATCGTGTACATATTATTGCAATTTAAAAAAGTAACTTTGTTTTGATTCAACATTTTTTTATGACAAGTTAGATTCATTGTATTTTATAGTTTAGTACAAAAACCACTTTGAATCAAAGTTTTTGCCATACCTGTGTTTATTTTTAATGTACATTTTTTTATTTGTACAAGCATGAATCATTACTTTAATACTTATAGATTAAGAATGATGACTGAGTGTAGAATAATTTTGGAGTGGACTTTACAGTTTGAGTGATTAAAAAAAAAATGTGTTGTCAGACTTTGGTTTTCTTTTTCGCATGAGGGTCCAAGTATTTTAATAATGCTTCGAGTTTCGTAAAACTGATTGAGTTTGAGTGTTTGAAACAGGAGCCAAGCAGAGCAACTAACAGATTGAGGCGTCGATAGCATAGCTGCGTCTTGTATTGTTTTGCTTTTTTGGGGTAAATATTTCATCAATTGACATATGGATTGAATCGATACTCTGTATACTTTGTAAGATTTTGATTTCATACTTTAGTTATAATGCTGCAATACTATGATAAAACATAATTATTCCCGATGCAATAGTTTTGTGCCTTACACCAATAACAAAAGCAAATAAAAGAATTGATAATAGCTTTGTTGCGTCATTTTATAAATGTATGACTTCACATAAAAGCATTTAGATAATAAAAAAAAGAAGCGTCAAGTTAGATTTTTTCATCTGGCTTCTGCGCTTAATTTGCTTTTCACTAATTCGCATACAAAAATTTTTATCACCAGTATGAATAAGTAACACATTTTACGCTTGTAATTGATTAAGAACTTCATCACAGTAATTTGTACGAAACGGTTAAATCATCATACTCTTTATTATAAAAAATCATTTAATTAATTAAATTAGACACTTCTTATTGACAAATGATTTCTAAATCCATCATCTAGTTCTAGACACAGAAGATGAGTCAAAAACAATCTTGGCTCCAGAAATTACAGAAGATGCTCGCCAAAGAATTTCTGAAAGTATTTCATACCCAACGAACACTGATAAAGAGTTAGCGGAACGTTTATCAACCATCATAGCAAGTGAAGTTGATGAAACAAGCAATGAAAAAATTTCAACTATGGATAAAAGTGTTTATGAATCATTAGAAAAATTAGTTCCTACATTAAAATCGATAGATACATCCGAAACTACTATGCAAGAAGGATTGATGGAACCTCAAGTAATTTTAGATGTTAAGCAAACTGAAAAGCAATCTGAAGTATCGCCAGCTATTACGACTGAGACATTTGAAGGACCATTACCGACAACCCAAGAAAAAAAAACTCAAATTGTATCAGAAGCCACGACCGAGTGTCCTGTACCTATACAAGTGGCTGAATCCGTTTTGCAAGCGCAACCTAAGGAAACAGTCTCAGAAGATGCGATACCTGTTACAGAAGCTATCGCTTCTTCTATAATTCCTTCGGTTCAAGAATCTGCTGTATCTGTATCTGAAGCTGAAGCTGTTATTCAACCAGACGAATGTGCCCTTTCGGATAAAGTGATACTTTCACAACCATCAAACGACAATGATACATTTCTCGAACCAAGAGAGGAAAAAACTTTGACGTCATCGGAAGTAAATGGTGTTTTAGCCGCTCATGATCTAGGTAATGAAACACCAAATCTGAAGACTACTCTAACAGAACAAAAAGAGTCTCAGAGTCACGTAGGAACAGTAGAACTGGGAACAACTCCACTAGATTGTGCTTCGCCAAATGAAGAAGTACCATCTTTGCAAAAGCTTGAGTTAAAAATTGATTTACAGTCGACCAAAACAATTGGAGAAGAAGGTGAAACTCAAGTGTTGGAGGAAGAACAAAAACCAGCTTTAGAAAGTGAGATCCTTTCTGAAATTGGTTCAACAACTGGAGATTCTTTAGTTGAAACGAACGTAGAGCCTCCTGTAAGACCTAGTAGGTCAAAAGATTTGAAGATTCCTGATACCCCGATAATAATTGGGCCAACGCCACCTACCAGTCCTCCGTTGGATACTGATGCCATTGTTGCACTCGAGGAGAGCAGTCAGAAACAAATACAACCAGAAACTGTAGATTTGTCAACCGATAGTGAGTCTCAACTTAAGGAATCAGCTTCTTTCACAGATGTTCAAGAACAAAATCGTGGAGGAAGTGAACAAGTTCAAGTTGAATCAGTCCAGTTACCAGAGAAAGGAGAAACAGAAAAAAAGAGTAAGAAAATTGCAAAAAAGTCATCTGCAGAAAGTGATACTCGAAGTTCACCGGAATCTGAAGGATCGGGTAAAAAAATTGTTAAGAAAGTTGTGAAAAAAGTATCGAAGAAAACTAAAGAGGGTACCGAAGATGACGAGGGTGGTAGTGGTCATAAGTTAAAAAAGACTGCCAAAACAGAAAAAAAATTAACTAAAACAGCATCGACAAGCCTGGAGGCGGATACCGATGTTCCTGAAACGCCACCACCACCGTCTTCAAGCACAGAACCTCCAGTGCCTCCAAAAAGGAAATCCAAAGTCAGTTCCAGCATTAAAAAAACTGATAAAAAATCAGATCAATAATAATCAAGAAAACATATTTATTTATATCTTTCATATAAAACTGATTTCAACGCACAACAAAAAATGTTTACAGTAACTTAAAAAAAGTAACAATAATAAAAGTGCCAGTACCATCATTTTTGTACCCTTTTATACTTCTTTTTATAAATTACACTTTCACATTTTTTAAAACCTCCAAACTTAAATCTTATCAAATTTCTGTAGCAGATTACGTGGTAAAGTTTTTGACAGGATCTAAAATCCAAACATTTTATGCAGTATTTTTTATAAAAAATATGATATTCTACATGTGTGTAATGACGCCCAGGTTCTGCAATCGGTTAATTTTCATATAAAATTATGATTGTGCATGAACTACTTTTTGAAAAAAATTATGAACCAACATGAGACTTATATATTTGATAAAATTTGAACTGTGTGATTTATTAAGTAAATTGAGTGGCATAGTTACTGAATATTATCTTATAAAATATAATTTTTTTAACCCTTTTCTTTCAGCAAACTGTTTATTTAATCATCCATAACAAGTAGAAAAGAGCGACAAATTTCACTAGTACCCCTTAAAGTGAATGTTACTTTTTTATACCATACTCAAATTGATAAGCTACTTTAGATTGTTGTTATTTCAATAGTCTGTTATTTGACAAATCAGAAACATGACTAAACAAGAAAAAACTATTTGATCGAAGTTGTTGTTATAATGTTTAAAAATTTGTTTTAATAATTCATGAGTCTTTTAGTTATAAATGTATATTTAAAAAACTATTAAATGTATACTACATGCGTAGAGAAAATTCTAGTCGTAATTGATCAATTTACGACATGTTCATGAATGCAAATAGAGTGTATTGTCAGTTATGTATTAAAAAAATTTCAGCAACTAATAAAATATTATTACTTATTGCCAAAAAACTTGTTGTTTTTCTTTTACTGTTAAGTGAACTTTCCTTCAAAAACTAAAAGGCAAATTATTCCTAAATCAAACAGTTTATTTCCGTTTAAGATTTATTTGGAAATGAAGTTTAATACTTTCATTGAATATCATCTAGTGTGTAACATTAAAATGATAACATTTTTCTTGTAGTGAATTGTTCCGTAACTACTAATATAGAAATCTGCAATATCATTCATTTAATTAATTTTTGTAAGTTATCAGAGACAATAAAAGATCTTTGCTTTACAAGTACTTTTGACGCACTTTTTTTAAAGTTATCTACTAGAAGAGCCAATCACTGGGATGTACGATCAAAAGATTGTGATCTCAAAAATTTGAATAATGATATTGCATAAATTTTTAACTTTAGCATGCATGATTTTTTTATTGCAAAAGTAGTTATACTGATTATGTTGAAGATGCTCAACGTGAACTACGTTATTAACATTACTTTTACATTGTTTTACAAATTTTTCATTTTTAATTACTAAATACGCACATACCACACTACCCGAAGAGTCCTTACTTTTGCTTAATATTTTTTTACTTATTAGTTTTTGCAGACAAAAGTTCTACATCTGAACTATGCAATTTTTATATAGATATCAATTACTCATTCTTTTTTTCATACGTTTTTTTAAGCAAGCAAATGCTGGTTAAGAAAACTATTTTCAACGAGAATATACGTTATAATACTGAATAAAAACAAATTTGGTTGGTTGAGCAGGACTATTTACAATTACAAAAAATTACAACTGTCCGATATTTCAGAAATTTAGTAATTCCATCATCAGGGACTTCTTACTATAAAAAACAACGTGATAGGTCGAATAAGAAAATTGCACCAACAACCTCCGTGGCCCAACAATGTATTTACAATATTAATACCATATTCAAATTCCCATATTAATATGGCATAATTATTGTAAATATATTGTTGGGCCACGGAGGTTGTTGGTGCAATGTTATTATTCGACCTATCACGTTGTTTTTTATAGTAAGAAGTTCCTGATGATAGCATTACTAGACTGCCTAAATTGCCGAAATATCGGACGATATTGTAATAACTTAAAGCATTCGCCTTTTTTAAAATAATACTAAGTAAATTATGCGGCCAGAATAAACAAATTACACAAAGCATAAAAAAGTTCCAGTTTCATGACAATCAATCTGTTAAGAAGGAATTTATTTAAAAAATAATTATAATTTCAACCTTATAATTTATTTACGTAGCTTTTTACTTGAAATATGTCTTTAATTTTGCGTTAAATTCTGACATTTTTGCAGTAGTACAACAAAAACAAGTTTCCTAAGTAGATGATAAAAATTTTTTAACGTTACCAATTGGTAAAATAGGTTTACTTCCATAATATAAGTTTAGTTCATGTTAGGTTTTTACTTCGTTGACTTATTTAAAAAAATTGATTTTTTTGTAACTAAAAATTATTTTTATAATTTTCAAATACAAACTATATTTTAATACAACTAGAATAAAAAAAAATTTTCAGCTTGAAATTAAAAACATAATAAATTAGAAACAAAGATTTGATTAAAAAATTTTTTTCCTTTTCCACATAAATTTTTTTGAAGTAAATGCACTTCTTGAATAATCGTATTTAGCTCTAGATAGAGTAAAGAAAAAAAAAAATTACATTTAAAATAAAAAAAAAAAATTCACAGAGAGCGTTATTTTTATGTTTATAAACAAAAAAAAAATCAACAAATAAATGGTATTTTCCATGGGTGCAAGTACAGTAGTAGTCTGCCTCATACGTATGGTATCTTAGCCATGAAAATGCCATCTCGTACACAGGGGATGAAACCTTCAACCTTTGGATTAATAATCCAATGCGTTTTTTTTTTTTTTTAAAACGCTTATTCAATTTTGGGGTTTCACAGTAGGTTGGTTTTATAGCGTTGAAAAGTTCAAATTCTTATCTGGATTCTGCTATCACAAGTGTATGTTATGTTATCTTTTATTTTGATAATCGTGTTACATTTAATGAATTGTACATTACATATTGTGTTGATTGTTAATCAGAAAAAAGGAATCGAAATCCTTGTCTTTGACTTGTATTTAAAAAACGATTCCGAAAAACGTGAATACAATTTTTCAGACTTACTTCTATGTACGCTGTATGTACTTAATTCTTCTAGCGATCGTCTAATGATCTACTTACTCATAGGTGTCTATTACTCAGTTCAATTGAATTAATTGTTGGCGTCGTACTAAAAATACATATGCCAGTTCACTACTGGAGACATTTGATAATAATTACATATTTTTATACATACATTATATTGATCTAGGTATAAAACGGAACTATTTAAACATTCGTGCGCTTAAAATTCTAATTTTGCGTTGGATAATTAATAAAAATAGGGAAATAAGGTTGCTCCTTTTAGTACATAATTAAATATTACATTAATTTTTACATTAATATACATTAATTTTAATGGACTACGTATTTAGATAGTGATTTTGGTTTCATAAAAGAAGCTCTTAAGAGCATTAATCGCAGCCAAGTTATTTTCTTGAATGCCGCCTATTCGCCTTCACCTATTACTCTCATCCATTGTTCCAGTTGCGCCATCTAAGGGACACGACAAGCTCCACTTTTTCAGTGCAGGAAAGAAGAATGGCGCTGTTAGCTAAGAACGAGAATCTTTATTTGCTTGTGGTACTTTATAGTATGGAGAAAACTGGTCGGTACTGAGGTTTGCTACTGAAATGAGTAAGTTGATCGTTCTACTGTAGTATACGATGAACTTACTCATTTCAGTTACTATAACTATACTACTAACTACTATATTTACTGTACATAAATACTATATTATTAACTACTTTTTAGCAAAAGATTTTATCGCTAAAATGCCGAAGAATTTAGTGAAAATAAAATCTTATGGAAACAAGTTTTTAAAGAATTATATACCAACAAGTAGCAAGAATTTTTTTAATTTTTAGGAAAACAGAAAATTATTAGTGCAAGACTTTACTCACCATTATATCAAATATAATACTGTGACACTTTTTGGTTATTTATAAAAACAAATCTGCAACTTTATTGTACATTTATGTATGTGTATTCAGCCTCCATCTCCTAAACCGAATCTTTCTAATTTAATTTATACGAATAATGTATATTTGAAAAAAAAAAAAAGTTAATTAAAGACTTGTTTAAAATAATCAAAATATATTATTTTCAATGGAAATTTGTAAGGTTTTAAATGTTATTCTTCCCAGTGTATAAAATAAACTACTAAAAAATACTTTCCTTTTTAACTAAATGTATTTGTTACAAACAGCGTAAATTAAAAGAATAAATGAGTAATTTATTGATGATAAATTATGTTAATAGAGTTTTGGTATTACTAAAACTTAAAGTTTTATTAAAATACAAGTGTATGTGATGATTTTATTTAAAATAAAATAGTTTTAAATATTGTTTTTTAAGTAAAGTAAGTAAACATCGGTAAATATTCTTATAAAAAATATTTAGTATGCCAAAACATTTAAACATGAATAAAAGGTTATACGAATTGATTTGAATGTTTATTAAATGACTCTATTCAAACTACCATGAGCTGTACATAAATAACTGTATACGCACGTTCCCGCACAAAAGATAAAATAGTGTATCCTATACGTGGAAGATGCGCAATTAGCATGCGTGTAGTGATCGAATACGCCACTGCGCAGACAAGATCCACCAATCGATGCTAGAAGCATTATTACGATTCAAGTATCTGGCGATTTTATTCTATTTATAGGCTAAATTAGTGGCAGACATAAGACTATATTCTTCAGCACAAGTAAGATAAGATTTTACAAATTAAATCCAGAAAGTTGCAAGTGCGTATGTAACATGAGTCACGACACTTGAATTACAACTGTAGAAGACAGACATATTGCATACCGTTGACGGCAAATACTTCATCTTCAATCTTTAAGTAGGTGATGATATTATCAACAGATCTTAAAGTTGGAAACTCTACAGTGAAGGACAAACCCTCCTCTAATCTCAAATTCAATATTTCATTTAATATTCAATTGACATCGGAATCAGAATGATAAAAAGTTATACTGATTGAAATTCATAGCAAGAAGAGTCGTTCAGTGACATCACAACTTGAAATAAATATTTTTCAATGGAATACAGTACTGCTACTTAAGTAAAAATTACAAAAAGGTATACTATTTTTTAAATAGAACTCTTAAGATTGAATTGCATATAATGATGTTATCAAATGTTAAATGTTATATTTTATGCTTAATTATGATTATTAAATGTCTGTAAAAACTTTGATAGATTCAATGCGTTTTTTGAATAAAGCTTTTTACTCAATTAAGCCAGATACTACTTTCCTCCGGCCACAATTCAACGTGTTATATTGATATCATGACGTAAAGCGGCACTCTGCTATAAAATTAAATGATCGGAATGCAAAGCAAACAAATATTTACATTAAGAAGAATAGAGTAAATTTTTTATAAAATACATGTATAAATAAGTTGATTTAAGTGTGTTTCACCCTTCACTAATAATGTTGGTTTTATAATATTTGATATTATTTATATGCCTCATGCAACCATGCAGCAATTATAAAATTTTGTTCATACTTGAAAAACTCTTGTGTCACTTGAAATTCACGGATTATTGCTTTAAATTATTTCATATTACACGCTATCGATCGAATAAAAAAAATATCCGTGACAAAATATGCATATAACTTTTACCTTCTACAATCAGACATTAAATTTATCTCTTGTAAATATTTTTAATCATTATTTTACACAATCACCAATAATTTTGATTTTTTTAAAATTATGTAATAATAATTGACATTTAAACCTATGCAAATCGATATAAAATAAATTTTGCGATGCCTACAAGTATATCGCATACTTAACAGACAGGCTCTTGTCACATACCACCACAACGATAGAGGTTTAACTGTTTTTACTTATTAACAAACAATGTTATTTTTTTAATTTTTAGGCTCAACCAATGTATGAGAGTAATTTATAATTTTGTTAGAGCAAAAAGTGCAACCACTTGTAAATCGTCTATTTTTAGTAGAAAACAAATTTTTAATTTAGTATAAGGGTAATCTGAGTTGGTTACATAGTATACGTGCGGAAGTGCGTGTGTACGTCATCAAGTTTTTCGACTAACTCAAGTAAGTAATTATGATCCAAATGGGCTGAAATTTTGTTCGTAACGAAATTAATGTCTAAGCTGATGATTTACATTTGAACAAGTTTCATGTAAATAAAAAATTTTGACATTATTTTTAGTGCAGTGCTCTTAGCTAAAAAAAACAGTTTTACAGCAATATCTTACTCATTCACGTTCAGAAACAGAGTTTTAGATCTCGTTAAAATACAACTTTTTTGGATCATACACTTTGCTTTTGCCTTAAATTGGAATGCAGACGCTCTATAAAACAAAATACGTGCAACAGCGGAAAAAACATTTTTCCGCACTCGGGTGGTTTTGGGAGGCTGGTACTTCCTCGGGTGAAAAAGCAGTTTTCCAGAACTCGTTCGAAAAGTCTCCTTTACGAACCTCGTTACGTCCCTCGCCTTCGGCACGGGCCGCAAACATCTCGGTTCGCAAACAGAGACTTTTCAAACTCGTAGGAAAACTACTATTATGCCTATTACATGAATAAATTTCAATTATACAACAAAATATTTGATACAAAAATTGTATATCTCATCAAAATGAAACTTTTTTGTACAGTTAGTTTTTCTCTAAAGTCCTGTCTTAACGATTTAATCAACAAGAATTGTTTCAAAATAGCCAAAAAATCGTTAAACACCATATAATTTTTGAACACTTGATTTCAAGACAAAATATTCAATATGAAAATTGTAGATCTTCTAAAAATACACTTTTCCGCCCTCGGGTGGTTTTGGGAGGCTGGTATTTCCTCGGGCGAAAAAGCAGTTTTCCGGAACTCGTTCGAAAAGTCTCCTTTACGAACCTCGTTACGTCCCTCGCCTTCGGCACGGGCTGCAAACATCTCGGTTCGCAAACAGAGACTTTTCAAACTCGTAGGAAAACTACTATTTTTGAATTGACCAATTTTACCTGTAGTGTTTATTATAAAGACACTTAATACATCGAAAAACGTTTTGAAATGGCTGAAAAAACATTTGTTACTTTAAATAAAAAGTTTGCATATTGATACTAAGACTCAGTTGGATATGATAACAGAATAATATTAAAAATAAACCTTATTATTTAAATAACACTTTTTACTCTGGCACTTTGTAGTTTGGTCGTGCCCTACATGCAAGACACAGTGTTTAGCATACATTTTTGTAACTTCTAAAAAACTCAACAGAATTTTAATAAAATTAATACTAGATTTTTTTCCATCAAGTAATTTATTTAGCAATAAAAATACAGTTATGCTACAGAAGGTAGTATAGTATAGTTTTTAGCAGTCTATTAAATAAAATACTCATCGTAGTTGTAATGAAAAATAGCTAGTGTAAAGTAGTTATGATTACACGACGGTAAATTAACATTGGTATTTTAAATTATAATATTTGTTTTCCATTATATGTCATGTCAAAAAAAGTTAATTTACACGCGAACATTTCCCTATTCGATAAAGTACGCAGTGCCTTAACCAATTAGCTTGTTTTAAAAAAATTCAATTAAAAACAACTAGTTGTACCGATAGTTCTTAAGTATAAATTACGTCAGACCAATCGTTTTTAAAACTCAAAACTTGTCCATGAAAATCTTGACAAAAATCCAGGCTCATACACGCCAAATTCATTTTCAGCTGAAAAAAAATGCCTGGAGTCGACTGGATACCCGGTGTGTCGCAATTGAAGGCAACTCTTCAAGCGGTGACCGGTGATACCGAAGGTGCCAAAAGGACAATGGTGAACTTTGTCCGAGAATGCCCAGGGGTGTCACAAGTAACTTCTGTCGTTCAACTAGCCGCAGGTGACGCGGAAGGTGCATTGGAAACCCAAAAAATATGCTTGGGTACCGTGAACAATGTTGCCAATGGCATACCCGTCGTTGGCCACGTAAAAGGTGAATTAGAAATCTCTAATAGATGGTATAAATAACAAGTTTACCACGATAATTTATATTCAGGTGCCATCCATCACGCTGTTGGGGATCACGAAGGTGGTAACCAAGCGCTCAACGCGGCAACTCGAACTACGGTTGTTGTTGCGAGTGGGGCGGCCGCTGCAGTAGCTACCGGAGGTTCTTGTTATTTTGATCACACACACACACACGCGCGCGCACACACACACACACACACTCATGCATACACACGAAAGTGCAATAATGAAGCACAGAATTTGGCAGAGAATTTTTTTAGGGATTGGTGCTATTCCCGCTGGAATAACAGCTGGTATCACCTACGACGCTGCTGCAACTGTGATAACCGATGAGGAACAGGGATCTATAGCTGCTCTAAAAAATGCTGTTGAAAATCCTTCAGCTGGCTCAATTTTTGACGCAGTTGCTGTTCCAGTTGGCGATGGTATAGCTGGTTACTCTGGAGGACAAATTGCAAAGAAAATAACGATTAATCGGTTGGAAAGTGCCAGGGCGGTTAAGTTGCAAGAGTTGGATGCTGTTTACGATGGAAAAAGTGGTGGTAACAGCGGTACAGCGGTGAAACTGGGACGAGAAATAAATTCCATGACTTCGGAGATCAATACGATGAAACATGGGACGCCAAAGTATTGGGTTGATCCCAAGACTGGAGAAGTTGGTGCTACCTCGACAGGTGCTAGTACTGGTAATGCAATACCGATGACTGGGTATGTAGATGATGACGGTACCAACCAGAAAAAAAAATTACCTGTTAAAACACAGCCTGGGACTTCGTCTGAAAGGTATTTCTTGTGAACATCGTTTTCATTAGAATGACAATTAAAACATAACATTTTTATTCTCCCCAGAATCACTCGTGAACAACCTGGTATGGAAAATGCATTGTATTACGATTCATACGTGGAGTCAATAACAACTGAAAAAAACATTGATGAAAATCGCAAGAGATTGCAAAAACTCGAAGAACAAGCATTGCAGGGAAAAATCCATGAAACGTACAAGAACGTCAACTCTACGCTGCTTCAAGTATTGAAAGACTTGCTAGAACGCATTAATATGGATTTTTGCCGTGATCCGAATCGCAATCTTAAGAATCTGAAGAAAGACACCAACCAAGTGACAAGGCGGTCATGGCTACCCTTGACCATGCCCCAAGAATTTTCGTATACAGTAAAAAAGGATTTAACTGATAATACACGCATAACAATATTTTTTAACAACAGTGGCAATTAGGCTCCTGTACTAACAAAGTCCAAAGAAATTTCATTGGCACATTAATGTGAATCAATATTATTTCTGTAGTATAAGTGAAAGAAAACGTCACTAAAATTTTTCGTTAGCTTTTTTGCGATGGTACGCTAGAAGATAGATATTGTTTAGTAAATTGATAAAAAAAAATTGTTACTTTCTGTAAGGAAAAAGAAGAATTTTTTTTGTATTCGAGTTAGTAGTAAAAAAAATTACGCAGTATTCCATTTTCTCCATTAATTTAGCTGTTTTTTTCTGTTACTCAGGGAATAGTTCAACTAAACAGTGTATATCAAGGCTTACACCACAGTTTCATTCGTCATATGGAGGAATGGAGAGATGTGATTTCTATTGATGCAACATTGATCCAGCGTCTATCACCAATTATGCCAGCGATTCGAAATCTCTCATCCGCTCAAAATCAAACTGATGCCGAAATAGCGCATAATGAGTTTCAAGAAGCTCTAGAACTACTAAGCTCAGAAATTCGTGATGGTAGATTTACTTGATGTTATGTTTTTATGCCCTCAAATGTCATACATATTGAATTCAACTGAAAATTTTTTGGACCAGTCATACAGGTAGCTCTGGTTGAGATTCAGATCTTGATATATCGCTTCATACAAGACAACATCACCATTGACAATTACCTGGGAAGAGATGTCAATACAAATGGTGCAGAACAGTTGCTCTTTAGAGTAAAAACGAGAGACGGAAGAACTGTCGTTATGGTTGTGTGTGTATCAAACCAACGTTTTGATCCTGAACCGGGAGATAGCCGTGCGGTGAGAATAGGCATTACTGTTTTCTTTAGACCATGGGCTCGTTTCCAACGCCAGAGAATAACAGAGACCAAGGAAGAGATGCTCAAGAAACAAAAAAATTCTCAAGATAAGAAATAAATACATACATTGCAACCAGGGCTAAAATATAAGCAATGGGTACTACTATGTGTGATAAACAAATTGAAAAAAAAAAAAAACAAATGTTGCAAAGGAAAATGATGCGTTGCTTTTAAATGCACTCGTTTTACACGATTATATTTTATTTTTTGAACCTGATTGCTCTTCTTTTGGTGAAGATACAAACATTTTTATAACAAAAAACAAACAGTAACATAATGTATATCTTTTGTACTTTTGTGGTAATAAATAAATGTTGACAACCAAGTATAAAAGTAAAGCTGCAATAAATTTAATGGCACATAGAGATTTTTTTAACTTTGGTGTAATATCACATGCATCTACTAGTATTCCTTTGGATTAAAATTAAATGTGCACGCGTACTTTTGGTATTACTGAAGATTTCCTAAATATTTAAAAAATCTTTAATCATTTCAAAACCAACCTTTATACAAGTTAAATATTAACTTTTAATTTTCTTAAAAGGTTTTTCATGAGTATGTAAGTAGATTTTAGGATCAAGAGTATGTCACAAGAATTAAGTCATTCAATTTATTTTTGAATTACTCAAAAACAGTTTATTTTCCTGTAGTGTTTGTTATAACATGTATAAAATACAACGCTTTGAATGAAAATTATTGAACTAACGGGAGTCAATGAGTATAGCTAAAGTAGATCAGTTATTTAAGAATAGAGGTTTAATATGAAATAATTATAAAAGCTTTAATATAAACGTACTGCTATAAATTTGGAAATACGTTAGGTATATGGATGCTATATATATATATATATATATATATATATATATATATATTCACGGAATTTAAGCACTCAAATAGTGCATGTATTATGTTTTTCTTATTTTTCATCATCATTCAAAAGTTAATCCGATTTGCCATACCTTTCATTATTGGTTTGTTCTTTGTACTCCTTAATAGCATTGATTTTATCTTCCAATTCTTTTGGAGTTAATACATCAATATTAAGATACACTTCTCCAACTTTGTATGCACAACTTTTTTGGTTATCCAATTGCTCCAGTCTTTGGAGTTTTTGTCCATGAGTTTTGTAAGTGCCTTTTTCGTACTCCTTTGGATATTCATCATAATAAAGGGCATCCTCTTGATAACACTTTGGAGGTGATTTTTCTTCTTTATTTGAACTCTTATCCACAATTATTTTTGATGACATGGTCTTGAAATTTCATAAACGAATTGGATTCTTGCTCATTGATTCGTCCCCACGTTTTATCTAAGCTTAGGAGAGTTTTGAAGATCTTTTTTTTTATTGATGAGTTATTTTAGGTTACAAAGTTATTTTTAACGTGTTACACACCAATTACAATTTATGTGAAAATTTCAAATGAAAAGCGTTCATACTTTCTTAAAATTACTTAATTTTTAGCAATATATAGCCAAATCTAGACGTTTATTAGGCTACTCAAATCTCATATTTACCAAGCTGTTTGTTATTTAAAAACCTTGCAGGTACAAAGAAATCGTTGATTTACAATATCAAACAGCAATAAATATTGGTGAACTTGAGGTACTGTGAAAACGATTAAGGAAGAAATTTTGTATTATTCGCCATGGCAAATAGGAAAAAAGTATTTTGTCACGTACCTAACTGCGGTAATAAATCATCTGACAATGGAATAATATTTCACTTATTACCAACAAATGAAAGCATTCGTAACCAATGGATTGAGAAGTGTGACTTAACCAATAAAGTTACGAAGTCTACGTACATATGTAGTAAACACTTCACCAATAACGATTACTTTCAAAGTAATGTCATTATACTAGGTAAATATCTAATATGTTTGACTGACAACGGTTTTTTTGTTTTTTGGTAAAAATGGGAAAAAATCGAAGAAATTCTCATGCCTGTCGTTTCATTTTTTCATTAAATTACTAATAGAAAATTAGAAAATATTTGTTTACATTTTGTTAACCTCTAAGTACCTTGTTAAATAAATAAGTGAACCAATGATGTGTTTGCATTGTCCACCCTGCCCAGCCTTAGAAGAACAAACGCATTTAATGCAATTTCCTGAGTCCTTTTTCATAATATTGACGTTTAACTCGTGCGGTGTACCAAACAGATCACTGGATTTTAAACATAAAAAAATCAAATTTGTCTCTTCTAAGCTTTCCAATGTGACTCCACAATACATCAGGTGATTAGCGTTCATAATATTTTCACCCTCTTCGTACTTTCGCACCCCATTCGCTGCATATTTAAATAAGTCACTAACATTTAAAAAATAATTACTCATGACAGCCTACGCTCCCACGACAACTTTAAACTGATACCTGTCCACTGGTTCGGGTTCCTATAAGATCCATTAGGAGGGCGCCACCAGTAGGTTAACACGACGAATTTACTGACTCTAGAATCAATTTCACTAACACACTATACCATCTCAATTGTCAGTGAACTTCATATTAAATATTTAGGTATCTCTCTCACTTTGTAAATAGTTTGACTTGTCGTGACTAGTAGCCAACTTAAGAGTTTGAAAAAATTTGATTTCTTCCAAAATATTTTCATATAAGTTGTAGACAATATCATTAATGAAGATAAAACATCGCGTTGTGACATTTATGGCTACCATGCTCGTTGATTCTACATAAAAATCACCTTCAAAAAAAAAATTAAAAAGATATTAGTTTGAGTGTTGTGAACTTTTCTTCTTGTAATTTTTTTTGACAAGTACACAATAATTCTTTGCAAAGCTTGAGTAAGCTCGAATTATTTATTGTTGCAGTTGGTAAGGACTATTGTTTTCAAGCATATTCGTGCAGTATCGCGTATCGAGGATTAACGTGAATCTCACTGTTGTTTAAAGAAAAGTAGAGATAAAAAAACAACATTTGCAACAAACGTCTATTTATCTAATCAAAAGGATCCCACAAAAACCGAATGGAACACTGGTTTCCAGTTAAATTGGCTGAAGTTCTAATATGTTGCAGATTATCATCTCCTGAACATTAGTTATCACTGCCACAAGTACCAAAAATGGATAATTTTAGTGTAAATGATGATTAAAGTCACTGCTTACCGTAAGGTTATTGTGACAGGCAATGAAGTATACCCAAAACATGTATAGTGTTCAGTATAAAGACTTTAATATTTCAGAATGATCCAAGAATAAAAACAACAGCTCACAATAATGAAAAAATATCTAAAAATAAAGCAGTCAATTTAAGAAATCATAAAAAATTCAGAAAAGTGATTAGACAACTTGCAGGATGAGGAAACCATGATTAAAACTACTAATACTAAATTACAATTTTACTTTCTCTATTAATCTTTTATTTGAGGTACTACAATGGCACATTGACTGTTTAAAAAAATTACAATAAAATTGAGGTAGCCATCGCAACATTATCATAGTAATAATATAAGAATTATGTATAATATAGTATATACAACATAAATTTAAGTAACTGATATTTTTATAATAATGTCGTTCTAAGAATTACCAAAAAAAAATTTTCTTTTGTTGAGTAGTAATTGCTTTTTATATTATATCATTGTAAGAATGTTAATAGTAGTTAAGACCTCTTATTCGCCCCTGATCACCCCTGTCTGTTCCTGGGCCCTGTTGTATCATTTGTTTCTGAAAAATTGCAGTTAAAATTTTTGAAAGCTAAATACAGTTTTATTTAAAAAGTTAATTATCACATATTTTCCTCTAAACAATATTTTTTACTTCGAACTTACTGTTTAACTAATTTTGTATGTATATTTTTTGGGTGTTTTTACTTTGACAGAAAAACGTACAATCGGTCATGAGAAAAGAATTCCTTCTTAAGATATAGTCCAACCTTATAGAAACTTTGTCCATACGATTAGTTTATTGTCATTGTCAAGGCTGGTACAAATGGAAATTGTTTTCTGTATAGAATGAAAGATAATGATCAACAATTTACAGTATTTACATTTTTTTGAATTCAAGGTAGCTGTTTCCCAATATGTATGTCAATCTTATATATAGATATGGGTGATTCTACCATAACTTGCTCAGATTGTGTCCGGTACTCGCACTGGCATGCCATAATGAAATCCAAAACTTTAAAAACGTTAAATTGTATTGAATGTTGTCAACTTCACTTACTTGACATATACCAATATATTAATTTCTTCATTGAGATAATCGATCATTTACCATTCCATTCCAACCCATGTCCACAACTCAATTTCACTCATTAAAACTTTGATCGGTAAAAAATAAGGCTTATCTGCCACTTGGGTGTGAAAGATACCCTTTTAGATACTTTTGATGTAGGAAACAACTACCTTAAATAATAAAAGAAACTACATGTGACGATAAATTAAAAAAGAATTGTATTTATCAATATTTATTGAATGTGAATAAAAACTTGCTGAGTTGCTTTTAGATTAAGGGTTAACAATGAGTTTCTTATAATATTCAAACACTTATTGACAAACATTGATATATTTAAGTACTTTAGAATGTATTCCATTAATTTAACCTTTTTTTACTACTTCATTTATGTACAATATGTTGTCTTTTGATTTTTTTAGTTAAGAATACACAAATAAGAATACACTATTCGTAGGGGAGGGGCATCCATTGTAACTTACAAGTGTAGAAATTCGCCTACACAAATCTTTCTCGACTTTATTAAAATATTTATTTAAATAGTTTGCTTTATTAATGTTTCTATAAAACAATTTTTTATCTTTATCGTATATACTACTTAACTTCTTATTGTTTAATCTTGTCTTTTTACTAACTTTAGAATTTATTACTGCCCAAAGCTGTTTTTTAATAAGTAGTTTACTTCAATAATTTTTGTCATATCTGGTTTAAGCATTTTTTATTACTTTGTCGAATACTTTAATGTACTTTCGTATTTAATCTTCAAATTTTAATTGTCTGTGTTTTTCTCAATTGTGTTGTATATAATTTTGTGTTGTTTACATGCATTATTAATAGCTTCTGTAATTCAATTTTCCATTGGTTTAGTACTCGATTTTTTTACAGTAGTGTTTATTTTACATTTTGCTTTTTCTACATGGTTTTACAATTCCTTGATTAAGGTGTTCATAGTTTTATTTGGTTTATTTATTGACGTTATCTTATTAAAACTGGCTGGGCTAGATATTAATCCAAATTTTTTTATAGTTCTACTAGTACAATGTATGTTGAGTTGTAAGATTGTATTATGTTAATTTCAAAAAATAATGGGTAGTGGTTGGGTATTAAAATAGTTAATTTTTAAAGTTATAGCCAAAACAGAACTATTTTCATGAATATATTGTCAATACATATTCCTCTTACACTATTATTGAATGATATAGTTGTTCCTATATAAATCCAGTGTAGTAGCCATTTTCTATCAAATTATTTAAAAAATTTTTATCTAATAGTCCACTGTGTTTCCAACTATTAAGTGATTTTTTAAGTTTTTACTGCTGATATAATACTGTAAGTTTGCCTGTATAAAATACTCCAGCATGTATTACTTCGTCACTTGAATCGTTCGCTTCATCAATGCATAGAAATATTTACTGGTTCTGGATCAGGTACCTGTTGTCTCCAAAACCTATAGTTAACTTAGGTACGGTTTTGAAAAAAAACGATTTAGGTAATGAACCCTAACTTTCGAACGCATCCTAAGTGATTATAAAAGTAGTGCCAATAACGAAGATCGCTCGAAGCGTCTTTAACGTAATAGAATGATAGAATTAGCTAAAAATCATGATATCCCGAAAATTCTGACTAGCTCGAAAAAAATAAAGTAGTAGTTTTAATATATGGTAACAAACTGACACAAAATTTAACAAGTAAAAATGTCAGTAAAAGCCCCCAAAAAATGGTAAAAATGTCCAAAACATGCTTTTCGTGTCTAGAAAAAAACCAAAAAATTGAACTTAATAAAATGTTGGCTAAAACAGATGCACATTTTCAATATGAACAAAAAAGCCAGATTGGGTCCATATTGGTTTAGCTGTTTTTTCACAAATCGCAAAAAACTGCCGTTTAAAGCCATTTTTTCGAAACTCAATAACTCCCGTTCTATACAACATTAAGATCTGAAATTTGGTCACAAGGTAGATGTTATTATTCTTAACGTACACATGAATGTTTAGCAAATTTTAGCATGATGGAATTCAAACTATTCACGAACTTCAGTAAAAACTAAAAAAAGGTCCTCTCCAAAAATATCCATAAAAAAATTGTTAGACATCATAGGAACATTTTTTAAACTTATTTCTTTTCGTCTATACCAACTCTACAATTACCTAAAACGCATGCTGGAAGTGCACGTCATCTCCAAGCACCACTGATTCCACTGACCAGAGAGCAAAAGGCCGTTTTTTGCCATCGATTTGTTAGATACTTTTCATCAGTACATATAAACGACGTTTCATGTAGCTGTAGAGTAAGTTTAGATAAAGATAAATACGTTTGAAAAATTTACCTATGTTAGCTAAAAACTTTTTTATGGCCTTTTTTGGACAGGACTTTTTTTCAGTTTTTGCTGTGGTTCATAAAAAGTTTAAATCCGATCAAGCTAAAATTTTGTGTGTATGTTAAGGACTATAACATATACATAGTGATTAAAATTAAGCTCTTAATGTTGTATGAAATGCAAGTTATTAAGTTCAAAAAAAAAGGCTAAAAATGGCAGTGTTTTGCGATTTAGAAAAAAACGGTTTAACCGATTTGAACCCAACATAGCTCATTTTGTTCGTTATAAAATTGCGCATATTTTTTATCCAACACTTTTTTATGTGCCATTTTTCGATTTTCTTCTAGATACAAAAAGAATGTTTCAGACATTTTTGCCATTTTTTTGGGGCTCTTGCTGACAGTTCTACTTGTTAAATCATGTGTTAATTTGTTACCATACATTTAAACTACTACCCTATTTTTTTCAGAGCTAGTCAGAATTTTCGGGGTCGAAAAACTAATTCGATCATACCATAACTATAGTATCGCTAAAACTCATATGCAAATGAAAATACAAAAATCGTAGTAATTAGTATTTTTATGTTATCAGTTATATCTAGGGACTCCCTCAAACGATTTCGATTAAACGTGGCCTGATCTTTTATTGTTTTCCGATTTTTATTGTATTTCACCAATAAACCATGGAACCAGCAGCTGATAAAAATGTTACCTGCCCCAGCCAAGAGAGATACCCAAGTACCGATCGCCGTAGCCTCCACTCTGTACGAACAACAAGCTACGCGTACTTATATACAGCACACTATGGTCGACCTTCTCTCTCCCATTGTACTTTGGCGCCGTTGTACCTCTTTTTCTCTCTTCCAGCAACAGCATCGTCGCAGCAGTGTCATAATGCCACTGCGATCAGCAGTCGTATCCGGACTCGTGTTCTGCATACTCCCATTTCTCCTATACGGTCACCGTGAAAAAAAATTTGTTTTGTTGTGCTCGCGCACTTCGCTAGAACTCGCTAACAGTTATGTGTCTTTGTTCAAAACATATTATTTGCCGTAGTGACAGTTGAGTGGTGAGTTTCGAATCGCCGATTTGTCTTTACTTTCAAGTTCTCCGAATTCGAATTGGAGGAGGGCCAGCCGACCGGAGGTATCAACTTTATATTGCAGTGTACGAGCCATCACCGCAGCCATACGCACACAAGCTCGGCCCACGCGTCAAGCTTCATATTAACGCATACACAGCTTTGGATGTGTGGAGCGTTCAAAGATGTAAGTAATGTAATGACAGGAAGATGGTCGTGCGTCTCGCGCTCCGATGGTACTTGAGCTTAGGTGCGTTCGACTCCTTGGACGTGTAAATACGCATGAGATAGTTATGCCATCCAGCTGTCAATCGAACTCCTTTAGTCACAGGCAAATTCTTATCTCGTACCTACACCTTTCCATTTTATTTCTTTGTTTTTTAACCTGTACGATAAACAAAGGAGCTTATAATGGCCATTTGTTGGTTCTTTTACGTTTCTTTCAAAACTCAAAAGTGGGTCGCCCATAGGCAGACGACCCACAAGCCGAGCAGTGGAAGACCTTGTCCCCGTAGCCGACTAAATGAGAACTTAAGAAGTAGAACTTGCTCCTAGCTTGTATTTTGTCAACTGTGTTTTGAACGAACTCTAATTAAGTCGTGATGCCATTTTGGCGCAATGGCACTAATGGCACCTCTCGACTGTATGAAGCACCACTTCAACACGTCAAACAAAATTTGTTTGCAGTAAGAAATCTCTACAATCATTTTTTACAAAACTCATACATGTACAGTCGTACACATAGGTTATTCGCAGAGTTTGCCAAAGACAGAAAGATCCGAGACAGCTCATAGAGAGACGTAGAAAGTGGTTTCGAGCGACAGTCACATTCAGCGTGACATCAGTGAAAAGATCTGGATTATCAGATCTGAATGAGATAAAGGTGCTTATTTACTCCGAACGCTTGGTTAAGCCAAATAAAAAGGGGGGCGGGAGTTTGGAGTTGTTTGTCCGAAGAAGATCGTGCTTCGAGTGAATGGGGAAGGATGTATATGGGCACCCGCAGTGACGTATGGAGCACTTCACAGTATCCGATAAATATACGTAAATGCGTCGCCAGCGTTTATTGTTCCATATGCGATTGACACTTGGAGCGAAGGGAGCGGTGCTGGACGTATACGTGAGAAACAAGCGCTGCAAAGGGAGGAAAAATTATACTGCTCTTCTCGTGTGCACTCTCGGACCAGTTTTTCTCAACTCCGGAGCTACCGATGCACGTATAATATCTGGGTAGACGCTCGTGCTCTTTTTCATGCTTTTGTTTGAGCCGATTAAGCCCTCTTTTACGCTCACCTTGCTCGAGCTCGTTGGTTTACCTGGAATTCTCTTGCTTTTCCATATCGATCCTTCGTATAATATATGTATTGTACTCGTTTTGCGTTAAGCTTTTTCTCCACTACACCTGTGTAGTCTGGACAACTCACTTGACCACACGCTTTCTGTGGTCGAGTGTTTCATTGTTTAGCGTTACAAATAGGCGGAACCTATACTTTTTCTTTTGCCCCAAGTTTAGGTTAATTGTGTTGGTACATTTCCAAGCCTGGGCTTCTATTGTTAAGCTCCTTTTTAACGAACACTGTAATTACTCATCCAAACTTTACGAATATTAATTTGGTTAATATTGGAGACAGAAGAAATGAATGTACTAAATTAGTGGTTGTAATTGTTCAATCGGAGAAAAAAGCTTTTCGAAAAACTTGAAACAGGTGCTCGATGCGAATGAACGTACTCGATTGGAAAACAGAGACCGGGAGACGGAATAAAAGCCACTTGTGCGAGTGCGCGCATAATGTATTGGTGTATCCATCACGAGGCGAGGGTAAGTTGGAAAGGGGAGAGAGTGTCAGCCTCCAACAGGTTTTAATGTCGGTCATGGACCTTTGGAACGGAAACCGCGTGCTTGGAGTAATCTGTATACATACTTATAGGCTACACCAGCACCGAGTCTCAACTGCGTGCTACTGTTACATACCGCTTTTAATGCTGGTGCACTTTCCGTTTACTCGTTGAGTGTGATCGATGCATTCTACCTCAGGGAGGAAATGCGAAAAAGAAGCGCCATTCTAACAACGCACTCGCCTTGATTACTCTGCTTTCTTGCTTGGTACTTGCGGGCTTCATCAACCTTCCGTTGGATAATTGCTTTTCAGAATTACTAAAATTTAATACCCATTTTAGGTTGGTTCTATGGTATTTTTTATGCTGTGTGCATTATAATAGTAATGATGCATATGAATGTTTTAAAAAAGCTCAGATTTAATTATGGAGGTAGCTTTGTTTTTATACCACACAACTTAACGGTTAAAAGTCCAGGTATAACTTTTATAAATAAGAAAGAATCAGCTAGAAATTAATTAACGAAGAAATGTAAAAGGGAAGGACATTAATAAATTGTGTACATTTAAATTTTTTGGATAGTGTAAATTTGTTTATAATTTATTGTGAAAAGTATAAATTGTATTGTATGTTTTTTTCAAATTAACGTTCCGTGGACTATTTTCATCGCTTTTATCATCATATGCAAGAAGACATAAAAAAAAATTCACTAAGAAATATATTCACTTAAAGACTTGCTTCTTTGATACTTTTCAATGCTTTTTGCAATACAATTTTTTGTTTAAAGTTACATAATTACTTGTGCTAAAATAAATTTATTAATTACTGCTTACAACACAGTGCTTAAAAAAAATTGTGAAAAAAAGAATCCATCAAAATTTAAACTAAAAAATGACCAAGAAAAAAAAGAATCACAGTACCTATTTGAAAAAGTATTTAAATATTTTATTATAGACACTTTAGAATAAACTTTAATATCCAAAATGTATTTCACTTGTCTACAAGAAAAAAAATGTTTTTTTTATTCTATAGCGAACAGTAATCCTGCTTTGATAGTAATGTACTTGTAACTTTTTGTACCTTAAGAAAAAAAATTTGTTTTTATCAATTTAATCTTGTTATTTGGCATATTCTGTCGTTACACTCATATAATCTAAAATAATTAAGACTTCTTTGAAGGGCTGTATAAAGTTAAGAAACGCTAAATTAAAAATTTCATAGCTTTTCTTTAACACTTAAACAAATAATTATTTTCATTTTCTAAATTTAAAAACGAGTTGCACTTATGAAGAATCTTTGATACCAATCTGTTGGCTATAATTGAGACAGTTAAATTATTAAACATTACCTAAAATAAGAAAGCTGGTAATTCCAAAAAATACGTTTTTATTTTTATTATTATTTATTACTCTACAAATATTTGCATGCCGCGTACATTGAAAAATAGTAAAAATATTGTTACTTTCTTTAATTTTTTTTTTTTTTTAACTTTTACAACTTTTGTTCCAAGTCCATACATGTTAAAGAGATATTATGAGTCAATTAAAAATTTCATTTTTAGTCATTTTCAGGCACGACCAATGTATGAGAGTGCCTTATAATTTTGTCAGAGCAAAAAGTTGGTCAAACAGTGTATGTGTAGAAGTATGTATGCACGTCATCAAGTTTATCGACTATCTCAAGTAATTATAGTCCAAATAGGCTGAAACTTTATTCGTAACTTCAAGTTGAATGTCTCAGCTGATGGTTTACATTTGGACAAGTTTCATCAACAGGAAAAATGTTGACAGCATTTTTAGTGCAGCGCTCTGAGACAAAAAAAAACAGTTTTTCAGCGATAAATTTTTTTACATACATTTTACATGTTTGCGTTCAAAGACAGGGTCTTAGATCTCGTTAAAATACATACATGCGAAAACAGCGAAAAAACAGTTTTGTATGTAACAGAAATAAATTCCAATTCTATGACAAAATGTTAAATGAAAAAGTTGTAAGTAGAGGTCATCAAAATAAAACTTTTTTGTACAGTACGTTTTTTTCTAAAGTGCTGTCTTAACGATTTAATCAATAGACAAAATGTTTAATATGAAAATTGTAGATCTTCTAAAAATACACTTTTTTGTACTGACCAATTTTATCTATAGTGTTGTTATAAAGACACTTAATACATAGAAAAACGTTTTAAAATGGCTCAAAAAACGTTTGTGAGTTGTAGATTTTGGTAAAATATAACTTTTTTGAATCATACACTTTGCTTTTACCTTAAATTGGAATGCAGACGCTCTATAGAGCAAAATAGACGCGAAAATAGAGAAAAAAAACAACGTTTCATGCCTACTAGAGAAATAAATTTCAATTATACAACAAAATATTTAATACAAAAATCGTAGATCTCATCAAAATGAAACTTATTTGTACAGTAAGTTTTTTTCTAAAGTGCTGTCTTAACAATTTAATCAGCAAAAATCGTTTCAAAATATCCAAAAAATTATTTTACGCCATCTAATTTTTGTACAATACACTTTTAGACAAAATTTTTAATACAAAAATGGTATAACTTCTAAAAACATACTTTCTTTTAATAACCCATTTCACCTATAAAGTTATTATACAGACACTTAATATCGAAAAACATTTTAAAATGGCTGAAAAAGCGTTTGTTGGTTAAAATTCAAAGTTAGCATATTGATACTAATACTCAGTTGAATATAATAACGGAGTAGTGTAGAATTGAATTATGTTATTCAAATAACCCTTTTTGCTCTGACACTCCATAGATTAGTCGTGCCTTACATGCAAGACATAGTGTTTTGCATAAATTTAGCCGCTTGTTTTTTTTTTCACGCATCAAACTTTTAAACTATACATTGAAATTCGTAAATTATATGCATACAAGATAAAAAACGACTGTTATTATTGATTTCAAAAAACCACTTAATACATTTTAAAAAAGGCCAATACATTGTTGTAGTTATACCTTCTAGAATGATATATATCTATAAATTATAGATAATTTAGCCAATATTTTTTAAACATTATATTCATGTTATGTGTCATAGTTTTAGTGTGGTTATGTATATATAAAATTGTTTTTAACTTTTTAAATTTTTTCAAAACTTAATTAAAGTGAATGATCAATTATCACAATTAAAATTATTCATTTCCTTGCAATACTGTTTCTTGGCATAAATTTATATACCTGATAGGTGTACCTCTACTATATCTGCTTGAAAAAAAAATAAATTTACCATACACTTACAGGAATCTCTTTTTATACTAAGTAAAATTTAGCTGAGCATCAATAGACATAATGTTTATAAATGTCAGTAGGTCATGGACGTGGATAAGGTG